TTTCCACAAATAAAAGAGTGAGAGTTTGTAAATTCATGAGCTTTATTTGCCGTGTATTGTCTGCTTCAGGGCGTTTTCTGTTGCTTTGACTTTCCCACATCCTTGTTACCCCTCGTTCCCCTCGTCTTGTATTGGTTGCACTGGCAGACTGACGGTGGCTTGGCTCCTTCCTTACATCCATGATTCATTCTACGGTCGCATGTACGGGCCGCGCTGCTTCCTGCTTTGCTTAATCCAACTTTTCAAAGCGCCACCTCTTCATGTTAAGCTTCATTTTTTCTCTCCTTTCTTTTTCATGCTCTTCATCTCATTTATATGTATATGCATTGAGCGCCTACAGCTACGCTTCACTAGCACACATCTCTGAATCAAAAGATGGGCCGAGCTGCCAAAACTCGCTGCTGTCATATTCTTGCCTGAATGGTACCTCCAGAGCAAGCCAGCAAGCAGCCCCAGCAATACTAACACTAGGCTAACCAATGCATACGCTGTAAAACACATGTTCTCTTTTGTCTTTTTATATGCTGTATGTAAATTATGAAACCTCAATAAAACTCTGTGTTTATATAGGGTTGTTAGTCATTGTTCAGTATTACCTCTTTATTTATCAGTCTGGAACCTGAAGCTCTGGAGGCATGTCAGAAATGTTATTTTAAAGTAGATAAAGTTTTTTTTTCCTTTTAGCTTTTGGCTCTGTGCATGCATTTAGCACTGCAGTGCTGATGCAGTGTTTCCCACAGAACACAGTTTCCTCTGCAAATATTTTATAACTGAGCAATAGTGAGTCTCTACTCCTGGGGATAAACGTCTTCCACATCTTGGATGGCAGTGAGTGATGACAGTTGTTGTTCTGCTCTGGAGCCTTCAGGAGTTTGACATGTTGGTACATGAACCAGTTCTCCATATGCTGCCAGCTCTGGTTACAGTGAGAAAGAAAGACTTTCTTACTTAGACCAGCTGCAGTCTAAGACACAGGGTAGAGCATGTTCAACCCCAGGAGAAGAGACTGTAGAAATGGCTGAATGATATCCACCTTCAAGTGTACACTTTACAGAGAGTCTATGGGAACACCACAGTCTGCTTGTTCAGTGATTATATAATGATGCTCTTTCCCGGTCCAAGCTTCTCCAGCGTTGAACGAGGCTCTGTCCTTTTTAATGTGCTGCAGTGCTTCAATTCTTGTTTTTGGATCCGACCCCCTAAAAAACTTTTAACCCTTCAGAACATATTCTGGCGTTGAGATTAAGCTTAGTATCAGGACAAATCTGGACTGTTTTAAACTTTCAGTAATGTCCCAGAGCTTTGTTTGTTTTTGGGAACTGAAGGAGTGTTTGGACCTGGATATTGCTACTGATATGAAACGTAGCAAACAACTAGCTGCCCAGCAAAGCTTGAGCAGCACAAGACAGGACGAGCTAGCTATTTATCATTAACAGGCAGTCATAAATATACTTGATTGAGGTGGCCTGCCCAGGTAAAGTTGGTGTGGGAAACACTGCATTTGGCTGTTAATACTGTAAAGTTGTGAACTTTATAGTGTAGACCTTACCAGCTAAATGGTTGATCGCAGCGCTATTACTAACTAAAGCATGCACATTCACACTAGTGTTCCTCTTTACTAATCTGTTTGTACTTGCAGACTTGTTAGTGATAGAACTGATGATAACATAAACCAAACCAACAGTCTGCACTCAGTTATTGTGCAGTGTAATGTGCGGTGTGGATGTGTGTGGACATTCTGGATGGTGTGTGTTATTTTTGCCTTGTTCACTGCTTTTCTTCCTCCCTTCCTTCCTGTATGGACCTGTCGTTTGCAGAGATAGTAAACCAGTTGAATGCCCTCAGCTGCTTACATGGGGATGATGATGATGATGGTGGTGTTCCCAAGCGAGCACACAAAGCAACAGCTAAGCCTGCTGCTTCCTCCCAAGGTCTTTTTTCACCTTTCTTTCACCCCTTTTCATCCCGCGATTCTTCTTTTATTGTCTTGTGAGCATTGTGTTGCCTCTTCCTACCCCTCAGTGTCACGGTTTATATCTACATATTTATTTATTTTTTATTTTTCCTCCCATAATGTTCTGTCTCCCCCTCTTCCTCTCTCTCTTTGGCTCTACCCTCCCTTATCCCTTGATCCTTCGTGACATTGGTATTGTAGTCGTGTTGTGTGGTACGATTTATCTTCAATCATGTGGTGACGTGCAGTACGTGGTGTTGTGAACACATCAGTTGGTGTTCATCCTTTTGGTTCCTATTGTTTCTCTTATTTGACAATGTGACCTTTCCCACTCTTTTACTGCAATTGGTAGTGAACCAAACCAGGTAAAAAGAAAAGAAAAGAAAGAGACCCTTTTTCCTCTTTCAGGTCAAAGCAATATTTGTGTTTTCAAAATAGAATTAAATATATTTATTTTAAATTGAGAATATTTAGCCTATGATATTCTCACGTGATCTTAAGCTAGATAAAAAAAAATGTTTTTTTTAAAAGTCCGACCAATCTGTCTATAAAAGTAGAATAGTTAATTTAAATTTGGCCGCTTTCCCTTACATGCTCGTCTCCTTTTGCACTTCTAAGTCAGGTTCAGTGGCCCCTGGGTCATACCACCAGTGATGTTTCACACCTTGGCTAAATTTAAATAAAGTGTTTTCTTTTTCTTTTTTGCAAGGGCACAGTTGTAAAACTTTTTCATCTTATTAAAAATCGCATAAATAAGGGCTTTATGCGAAAGCTTTCCCTTTCTCATCTGGGCAAATAACTCCAGTCACTGGTTCAACTGGAAATTACATCCTGTTGGCTAACAGTAATATACAACAAACATAGCTTTGTACTCTCAAGGTTTTCTGAGTTTATTTGGGGTCTTCCAACATTCTTCTCTTTGGATAGGAGTAGTCACAAACCCTCTCACAGATTTAAACACACTCTTGGACATGTGCACTTGTCATGGCCTAAAATTGGCCATGAATGTTGTGAGTTAAGTGCTGTTCCTCTTATCAGCCATCACCACTTCACATAGCCACACTACATATAGACCCAGGACACGTAGCTCACAGCACAGTTTTTCTTTATACTAGTTCAGATTTTCATGTTTCTCAGCAACATTTCTTGGCATCTACCTCAGGCACATTTACACTCTTTTCAAACTGACCCACACCCTGGCAGCATGCGATTGAACTACAGTGAGTATAGTGAAGATAAAGTACACAAGTACCCCCTCCAGCTGGGAACTCCATAGCAACACCATGCTTTCGCCACAGTCTCCCACAGTAACCCTCCATACCACACAAAATTTCCCAGAATGCCACTGTTGTATATGCTCTGAAGAAGGATGAAATGGTTGAGGAACAAAGGAGTTTAGGCAGTGCTCCCCAGCAAGCGGGATTTCTTATCCAAGACTGAATGGTTCACTCCGAAGTGCAGATTTTGGTGCATTTGGCTTTGTGGCTGTTTGTTCATTGCATTTTGTTGTGTAGCTGTTTTGACTCTGTAGTTTAATTTAAAATAACTTTTTATTGAACTCTTTGGCAACAGAGCTGATTAACAAGCTGAACTTCCTGGAAGACGAGGATCAGGATACGGCTCCCGCCATGAACAACAATCCTTTTGATGAGCCCGATGTCGACCTTCATCCCAACCATCTCAACCCATTTGATGATCCTGATGAGGAAGGTATGTGCAGCTCTGCCAGCTTCTGAAGAAAATACACTGAACTTCATTTTAATATATAATAATTGTAAAAACTTGTAAAACGTGCCTGGCTTTGGTTGCGATCTTCTTGGTGTTGCTTTGGGAAAAGTCTTTGGGATGATGAGCAGTGTGGCTTTAAGGTTCTGATGTGCAGATACCATGAATGTGTATAATCCTCTGCAACTGTATCAGGCTTCAATGCTTTCAGTCAGACACCTAAACCAATATTTTTGTCTGACCACCTGAGTGGACAGGTATTTGTTTTTGAGTGTCACGCTCTCGCATACATAAAAGCACACCTTTGCTGCCTATTTGCTTACTTAAGATGTCTTTGATCTTCAGCCTTAAATCCTGGATTTTACTTTCTCAAGTGCATATTTTTACGTATGTACATGTGTCCTTTAATGTCCTTATCATCTTCAACAAAGGTTTACTTATTTTGGGGACGATGCGGTTGCTGTTTTAATTCAATAGTGGCTGTGTGTAGGATTTGGTTGTCTTATGTTGGCAGTGAAGGCAGCATGAAGCATATGTGCAGGCACCACCCAGGAGCCCACACAGGGGACCTGGATCCTTAAAATGTTGAAATAAACTAAATATTATCCACACACACATATGAAAAGTCAAATAGGCAGTTAACCTTCTAGGAGCTGGCATCCACATATGTGGACATCACATTTTGGGTTGTCTAGACCACAATACTAAATTTTACTGTACAAGGGCCTGATATCCTCTTCTCAGAAACTATATCAGGTAAAAAAAATAATTCTTTGTTTTTACATTCATCAGGTCCCAATCTGCCCAAATAGCAAAGAGAAATAAAAATGTATGCATTGAAAGAGTTGCAGTCTTAGGAGGTTAAGGCACATTTATTGTTTCTCTCTGCTGTCTATCTCTTCAACATACTGAGATCACAAGCTACCAAAGCTCATGTCAAGTCTAGGAGTAACATGATTTGTACATGCTGTCAATGCTTTCCGTCCTCTGTCAGAGCCCCCTGCCCAGCCGGTCCTACGTCAGCGGGCTGACGACAGTTCCTTTTATGACCACGACTCCTCAAATCCGTTCAACGAGCCAGATGAGCCAGAGACACAAGCATGTCCGGGGAACCCCTTTGATGAGCCTGACCAGGACAGAGACCCTCAGCCAGATCCAGAACCTCCCAAACCCAGGCAGAGGAAAGGTGTCCGGCCCGTTGACATGAGCAAGTACCTGTATGCGGACACTTCTCACAACGAGGAGGAGCTCGACAAGTAAGATTTTGTTATTCATTGGACAATTGTTTCAATGTCCAATGAATTGTTTCAAACAATGGTCTTTGGTTTTTGTTTTTTTGGGGGGGTTTTGGCATTTGATGACACAGTAACTTTGAATTATGAGGCTTGAACATGCTGTTAAGTAAAGAGCGTGCACCTTATCCTGTGCTATTTTTCTTTTTTTTAAGTGTCATGTTTTATTGTTTTATTGACCAGAGACCAGTGATTGAGCTTATAAACTGACTGGGAAAGTGTCTACTGTGCTGAAAAAGTGACTATAGGGCCATTTTCCCATAGACTTTTTACACCACAGGAAATCGTTGCGCAGTCAGAAGAGTCGCCCCCTGGTGGCAAATAGAAAGCATGTAGATTTAAGGGTTTCAGATCACTAGCCTCAAGTGGCCATTGGAGGAATTGCACTTTTCTTCATAAGTAGCGATACTTAAAGCGCTCTGTTACGTTCTCGATTACTGCTGGCAGCCCGAGTCCTGCAGCTCCCCCTCCTTCTAGAGGAGCACTTGTAGGCACAGCTCCCCCCTTCCAAACAGGGCAAAGTGACGAGGCAGCTCTTTCAACAGGAACAAGGGCCCTGTTGTTTCACTGCATTCTTTAACCTTGTCTCCCTCTTCAGTCTTCCACCCGTCCTCCCCATCCTCTCCCTCCCATCAACTTGTTGCCCCATACTTTCCCTCTTTCTCTTTCACTTCCTCGTAGACTCTGCTCATTTTTATTTCACCTTGGAGCTCCTTTACGCTTGCTCCCCACCCCCACCCTCCCATTCCCTCTTCCTTGTTCCTGTTCCGCATCATTTCGGTTCATCAGTGCTGTCAGCTACTTTGTAAAGAAGAAAATATAAAGATGCTTCTATCTGTTGTTGAATTTAAAGATATGATGAATGTGGCAACGGAGGCGTTTTTTTGGTTATTTGTTTACTTTTTTTGGTATATGCTGCATTTTTAAAATTTTTCATTTTAGTTAAGTTTGGTGGCTGTGTTGTGCAACCCTTACTTATAAATATTTAATCTCAGTGGAACTTCCTGAAATTAAATAAATGAACAAGAAAAAATGTAGTCATTGAACGCAGCATAAAAAGGTAGCTTGTTGTGAATCTCAGTTTTTACTGAAATGTTAGGCTATTTTATACTTAATAGGCTGTGTCACCTTCTCTAAAAGCTCAATATAGACTTTATCTTGTGATAGTAAAGGTTGCCAACCTTTAGGGGTTGAATCTTAGCTTCACACTGATGTGGACATCCTTCTGAAGTGTTCCCATCAGTGAACCGTTTCACCAATAGTGTGTGACCATCTCCACAAGAGCAGCCGTGCCCAAATTGTCAATGTAAACCCCTTTTTGCCACTGAGCGAAGCCGTCACACAGACAGGCGTAGGTTTCACTCCTCTCAGCTGTCCAAAGACAGACAGGAATTGACTGGTGTGTTTCTTTTTCTCTGTCTCTTACATCAGGAGCAGCTCACTGCAGAATAGAAAGTTCAAGAGGGCAGCGCAGTGTTTTGACTGCAGCCCTTTCACATGTCTTTTAGCCAGCGATGGTCTGTTAGAGCTTCTCTATAGACCTGCCTCCTTCTCTTTTCTTCACTTCCCTCCTTTTTTCCCCTTTCTATCACTTTGCAGTAGGACACTGAGTACCTCCAACCTTCTCTTTCACAGACACCCAGTCAATCAGTTTTTCCTCTCACCCCCTCCTCCTCCTCCATCCAATTCTCTTGTTTGTTTAGGACTGCTTGTTGCATGTTGAGTGAATGTCTTAAGGCCGTGCCCCTGCTTTCATTGCCACCAGCATGCCTGTGTATTGATAACACTGTGGTATGTGTATGCATGTGTGTTTTGGTGAGTGCTTGTGCGTGTGTGTAATGTAGTCAGTCGTGCTCTGGCCTGTCTGTCAGTAGTCCACCTTGGGTAGTGAGGATATGAGGTCACACAGTCCTGACCTCAGTGCACCTGCATCTTCTATTAACTTACCACTTTCTGTGTGCTGTTCATTGTGCTGCACCATACCTTTGTTTCCCTATTAATGAATTTATAGTTAGATCCTAGGATGTCTTTAAAAGCTCCTAATGGTTATTATAGGTCATTATAAACAAAATGTTTAATGATTAGGCAAAATATATACATATTTTCTAATGTTTTCTTGTATTCGACAACCTAATTTTACAAGATAAAAAATTAGGTTTTATATCTTATATAGCTTATATGTCTGTCTTTGAGATGGTTTATGTTAACTTTATTGGCATTTTGGAGCCTTTTATGCTTGTGTTGCTGCTGTAAGTCAGGAAATTTAGTTTTATTGTATAGCCCTGAATCACATGTAAAGGTTTAAAGGACTTCATAGGGAGAAGAGCACATTAAAAACATGAGAAAACACGAGAAAAAACAATAAAGTCACTAACACATTAAAATTCAAAAATGGACAAGAAAACAAAAAAGAAAATATTATAAACTTGTATTTAAAAATGAGAATAGGAAGATTTTATAGCTGCTCTAAATGTGGCTGAACAGTTAGTGTGGCCATTATCAGTGCTTTTTTTCCAATTCAATTCAGATTTATTTATATAGTGCCAATTCACAACAACACAACAACGACCCCAAGGCACTTTAATCTTGCAATAATAGAGAAAAAAATCCCAAGATCACAGTATGCCATGTAAGCAACAGTGGGGAGGAAGAAATCCCCTTTTAACAGGAAAAAGTCTCCAGCAGCGCTATCCTCCACCCTCCAGTATCCCCAGTTCTGCTCGTTGAAGAATATTGTGTGTCTGTTGGTTTAGCTTTTTTGATTTATTTTTAAGATCAGGAGGATCTTAAAGTGTGAGTCGGGATATAACTGTAATATTTAAGACTTTATATACAAGTATGAATATTTTAAATCATTTCTGTAGGATCATCAAAAACAGTGTAGCTCTGCTGTTCTGAATAAGCTCCAGCCTAGTGAAATACTGTTTTACAGCTCATTCTTTTTACAAATTCGATGGATAAATTACACCAATCTCTCTTTTCCCTTTTTCCCCCAGATCCAACCCATTCTACGAGCCAAGGACATCGAGCCCTGTGCAGCAGGATGCTGGTGGCCCCTCACCTGATGTGGCCAGCAGCCAGAAGAGGAGAGCTCCCCCACCCCCGGGCACTAGCCCTGGGCTCGGCCCCAGTTTACCACCCCACAAACCCACATCTGGCCCTGATGGGGAGAGAGCCCAGCCCGTCGGGCCCAGCCCAGTGGCAGCAATGATAGGGAGAGAGCTGGCCTCCTCTTCCCCCAAGGTACGCAGTCCTTGCTGGAATGTAAAAAACTTGATTTATCCCCATGTGATGCATGTGAAAAATACAGAAAGAAATGCACTGTGGCTGTGTCTGCAGCGTATCATTACTTTCTATTGTGAGAAATATACGTTTTAGAATAAAGCAATTTAAGATTTTGATTTTAACTTTGATCTCATCAACTACTTGTCGGCCTCGCAGACTCTTAAGTTCATTTAATTACATTTAATTACATTTAATTCAAATCTCTGAGCTTGAACCCCAAAATTCAACAGATCTCAGCTCATGTCTACTTCCTGTCATTCACTCTAGCTCGTCCGTGCAGTATGTTTTATTATAAGTGAGTGAGTTGAAGCATTTTGAGTGTGTTGTGTGTGTATGTGTGTGTTCGCAGTAGTGTGTCCACATCCAGTGGTCCTTACATTAGCTTTTTTTCCGCCTGCACAGTCTCATCTCCTGCACCATTCTTTATGCTCATGAAACTCCCCAGCTCCTCATTTGAATATAGGTATTTGTTTATTGGGGTGTTTTCATATGTTTATTTATTTATTTAAATTAGGTAAATCATGGCTGGGTCTAATTAAATGGCTGATGGTCACACACACTCACGGCAGGAGTCAGACCACTGGTGGGGAATGATTGGCTGGGGGTGTGGGGATGAGTGGGGGTTAAAATTGTGAGTGTGTGTGTGTGTGTAGGGGCTCAATGAGCCTGTGTAGGGCTTAAACACAGGGGGCTTAACTACAGCAGAGCGATCACAAGGGGGTGTTGACCCCCTGTGCCCATGCACACACATACACGCAAACACAGTACAGTTAGTCATACACACACATAGACACACACAGGTCCCTCCTCCCCATGCAGCTGGCTAGCTGACTGTTTTAGTGTAGCTGGGCGGTGATGCTGGCCGTCCATGTAATTATGGCACAGTGCCTTTATCACCCAGCTGCAGTTGCCTGTGACCATGGGTGAGGGGGCCTAAACCACTTTAATTACCCAAAGCCAGTGGCCTGTGGTGGGCCACACTTCGCCAAGAGATGCCCCTGCCTCTGGAGCTTGGTGTGGAGGGGGCAAGGTGGGGTTTAGAGAATGAATTGTGACTGAAGAGGAGGGGTGAAATGAAGAATATGCTGAGGATAGTGAAGGGTTATAAGACGGCAGAAAAGAGAGGGAACATTTCCAGGGAATTGTGGAGAGAGAGCGCAAGAGAGATGGGATGTTCACAGTAAACAAGGATAGGCCTACAGGGTTTGTTGGCATATACAGCTAGTGTGAATAGGGTTTTTTTTTCCCCTCTTATTCACACCCAGCACCATGGTACACACCACAGCCTACACATGGGCTGTGAGATGACCTTTGAATGTATGAAGTCAGGGAGGATTAAGAGGAGACATCCTCACTATGAGAGGCCACGACAAAACCAACACATCATAACGCTAGGAACGTGCACAGAGTGTAAATGTATGCATGTATCTGTTCTTATAGTTTCCAGTGTGCCCAAGGCTCAGTTTTGTGAATATGTACTCGGGCAGTTATAACCTTCCCTCAAAACACAGCTAACCTCCGCCTCTCCCATATAAGGCGTCTACTCTTCATTCATATTTATTTTACCAATGTGGGCAAATTGTATGTAGGGCTGAGATAAACACACACACAGAATTCAGTTTAATCTCACAATGTGAATAGAAATTGATATCCAGAAAGCCACCATATTCAGTTCTACATTTACAAACCTGCCCTGAAGGGTTAGAATGAGTTTTTCTTTTTTCTTCTTTTTAAATGAAATCTTGTCTTTGGTAACCGAAAGAGATTAGCTTGTCTTGTTTCACCATTACATTTAACACATTTATTCGCTGCAGCAGAGGAACAAGCTTTAAATGGCTGGTCGCTCAACAAATAGAAAACGAGTTTAAGGGTCAGCGCCTCGAGTAATGCTTCGGTGAAGATATTTCATAAACCTGTAAAAACCAAGCAAGAGTTCTAACAAGAAAATACAAGGCAACTACAGTCATGGAGAAAGATGTTTGCATTCACTCCAACAGATTTAGGATTAAACGTTTTCTTGGATGCAATCTCATCCTCCTTGTCATTGCATTAAAACCAGCCACTTCAGTGCCAGCCTGTGGAAAATCAGGACATCTACATGACATATGGTGTGCGCCCACTTATTCTATACACAGGTATTACACATATTGATTGGATTTACGTTAAGAATAATATGAGCTCGGTGCTCTGGATTTTTGCCAGTGAAACACATGGGCTGGCACTAACTCAAGTTCTTATGTAGATTCAAATGTAAATGCAGCGTCTACAGAGGTTTCAGAAGCTTTTGTTTTGTTGCTCACGATGACTGGTGGACAGTAGGTCCCAACAAAACCCTGCTATATACTGAAGAGGATATGCAGATAGCACCTTTCTGAACAATATATTAGGACTTTGAGTATGTATTTTTAAACATAATTGAAAAAGGAGGCCTTTGCCTCAATGATCAATTAAAGGTGCCTTACTTCGGGTGATGTTTGTGTTTGAGGAAATGTGAAGGTAGGTCATACCTTGGCAGCGGTGGCTCAGGAGATACAGTGGGACATCTGTCAATGAGAAGGTCAATGGTTTGACACCAGGCTCCTCTAGTCTGCATACTGAAGTATTGCTGGGCAAGATACTGAAACCTTAATGCTCCTATCAAAGTGTTAATGTGTGAATTTTAGCTTAAAAGGTGCTTCTAGGAATCGGTGAATAAGGCTTGTAGAAAGAAAGTACTTGAAATGTAGCTACACTTCTCAGTGTTTGTTTCTCTGCACCGTTGTTATTGATGCCAGATTCAGACTACATTATAATAGCTTGATTGTGGCCAAAACAATGGGCGTCTTAAATGACCGCAGATCATTTTATCGTGTATACTGTGTCGTAACTGAAACTTCATCCAGAATGTCTTATGATGTCCAGACAGAAAGACCAACATGTCATGTATACACAGTTGTAAAGTTGTACATATGACTGCACATGAGTCCGGTTTTTACCATGTTGAAAGTTTATATGCACTTGTCATTAGGTCCGAATGCTTAGATGGCTGTTGCGAGTTTGACAGAGAAGTGACCGGGCTTGTTCTTTGACACATGAAGCCGACGCATTAAGATATCGTGAAAATAATGGAAAGGAGAGCATGTCTGAAAGGGGCTTTAGATGCTTCACAGCTCCCATACCAATATGTGATTCCATTGTCCCGTCTAGAGATCCTGAAGTGCGTCAAGTTTAAAGTGTAGCATCTGTGAAGGAGCTGGAAGGATGAAAACATCTGTGGGATTAATTTAAATGAACAGAGGGAGTTCCTGTTGGGCGGGCTGTGAGCTCTGTCTGGTCTGATTCAGTCCATCTCTTTTCCCTCGCTGTAACTCAGTGATCCTCTGCTCCTCCTTTTGTTTCATCTCCATCTCTATTCTGTAGTCAGAGCGCTCTACACTTAGATGCTCTGATCTTTGGATTTTCATCAAGTTTCCGCTTCGTGACTTATTTGCCTTATTTTCATATAAAGAAAAGTTGGAGGTTGGATTATGCGCGTGGGCAGAAGTTTGAAAGAAAAAGTTCTGTGTTATCTTAATATTTGCCAAAGAATCTTGGAAACAGTAAGGAATTTTCAACTTTGTGGTTTATCTGTCAATACATTACATCCTGGAACTGGTGTGCGTTTGCTTTTCAAAAGCTTTTTTTAGGCTGTTCCTTAACTGTATACTGTGTGAATATCACCTATTTCTTTGTATGTCGAGTAATATTTCAAGCATAATCTTACATGAAATCTTTACCACTTTTCCCTTTATTAATTTTTGTTACAAGCACACTCACATTAGACACTAGAGGAATGTTTTCTTTCTCCCCTTCATTTGAAGGGCTTCAGTGATTACCCACGTTAGTCGAAGGGATCAAATTAAATAGAGTTTTGCAGGTTGTGAGAGCTCCTGTGCTGGGGGGAAGGAAGAGGCCAGAGCTCTCCTTCCTCTCCCACATGTTTTCACAGCCCCTCCTCCTGTTCAGACTACCTCCAAATTGAAATTAGAATAAATTAACATTATTTAATTGAGTTCGCAGAAGGCTGCGATATTTCTTAATTAGCTTTCACCGAGGTTCGCGGCAGGAGAGGACCACATCCGTGCTGTGGAGTGTTTCTGAGGTTACTGTGACGACTGAGGGATGTTTTTGGAGGACAGAGGGGAGCCCAAGAGACAAGGACAGTCATCTCTTGTCTTCTGATCTTTGCCCGTTGCAAGGTCTCTCGTCTTGTTATCATTACATCCAGTCCAAAGTTAATTCATCTTCTCTGATAAGTTTTGCAGACCTTTACACAAAGAAACTCAGATGGAGGACATAAAGAAAGTGGACTGGGTACGATGTTTTAAGCAGCTACTGTAGATTTAAAAGCCTCCTTCGTTATAGTTGGAGCTTAAATGCTAAACTAAATGCCTTGTTGACTGTTGTTCATTTAAAGCACACTTCCATCTAGGTTCATTTTTCTGACATGTAAAGCTCTGCAAGATGGTGTCAGTAAACTCTTGTGGTAAGAGTTGTCCACACTCCACCTGAAGTGGCTCTATGCCCCACAGTTTGAGAACCACTGGGTTAAAAGTAAAAGATCAGGAGAGTGTTTTGTGTTTCTTAAATTTCAGAACTTGGCATCGCTATGAGCAAGGAAATGGGCATTGCGGTCCGTCTCTGAGACCAAAGCATTGAAGCCTCAGTGGCTCCCTTTGGCCACGCTGGCCTTTCCATAAGCTGTGTAATATTAGGAGAATAATCCTCGAGAGGAGTAAGGCTAAATAATTACCTTTCAGTGTCTACCTTTTCTCAGCGTGGACCCCTCCCCAAACTTTTTTTTTGCCGTCTCTGAGTGGTCTGTCATTGGATCTTGTGGGAGAAAGGAGACCCAGTTTCTTCTCTCAGTCGGTGTAGGTCCAATCATCGGGCTTCCTGTTGTTGCTTCAAGATGCAGGGCATCGCTGTCATCAAGTTAG